AGTAGTCGACCACATGAAAATGTACTTTTCTAGCTTTACACGCAAGATGGCGTTAGTTGAAAATAAAGTTATCGATAATGCATAATACTGTATTGCGAGCACATTTACCATTTTTATTACTGTCGATAATAGTTATTATTACTGTCGGTAATAGTCATTAATAGATATATCATATTCTTTCTCTTTCGTTATCTCTCGCTCTCTTTTGTTAATTTCTGCTTTCTTTCTCTTTCTCTTCGTTTTCCGCGTATTACGCTATTGTGCATGTGCGTGCGTGTGCGTGCTTAGAGGTGAGTACGAATAATAATGCTGTATATATATATATATACATATATGCGAGCGCGCGAGCGCGCGCGCGTGTGTGTGTTGCGTGCGTGCGTGCGTGCGTGTGTAATATATACAGGGTGTCCCAAAGCACCCTTGACAACGCTCGTGAACAGATAGAGTACAGTAAACTGAACAGAAAAGTCCTGTAACATTTTTTTCTATAACGCTTAATAAAGGAGTTATTATTGAGTAAAATCTGGTCAATCAGCGTCGACCTTTAGCCGCGCGCTTGGTAGTGTGCGTGAGCGTTCCGTCGCTACGGCGACGCACACTGACAGACGGGCGGCTCACTGACGTGCGTCCGGCTAAAAGTCGACACTGATTGACCAGACTTTACTCAATAATAACTCTTTTATTGAGCGTTATTGAAAAAAATGATACAGGACTTTTCTGTTCAGTTTACTGTGCTCTACCTGCTCACGAGCGTTGTCAAGGGTGCTTTGGGACACCCTGTATATATTACACACGCACGCACGCACGCACGCAACACACACACGCGCGCGCGCTCGCGCGCTCGCATATATGTATATATATATATATACAGCATTATTATTCGTACTCACCTCTAAGCACGCACACGCACGCACATGCACAATAGCGTAATACGCGGAAAACGAAGAGAAAGAGAAAGAAAGCAGAAATTAACAAAAGAGAGCGAGAGATAACGAAAGAGAAAGAATATGATATATCTATTAATGACTATTACCGACAGTAATAATAACTATTATCGACAGTAATAAAAATGGTAAATGTGCTCGCAATACAGTATTATGCATTATCGATAACTTTATTTTCAACTAACGCCATCTTGCGTGTAAAGCTAGAAAAGTACATTTTCATGTGGTCGACTATACTATATATATCGTCGACGACGACGACGACGACGACGACGTCGACGTTTCTTAAGTGAGAATTTCCACATTATGACTTTGCATCATAATATGGCCGTTCACGACACACGTAGAGTGAAAATAAAGATATTTTCGTTATATAATTAATACCCAAGCTATCGATTAAGCCTAGTAAGATCTCAATCAGTCCAGCCATTATTGAAATCTGATAATTTCAGTTACTCTCAACTGACCGGCTCGCGTGAAGATACACGGTACGCCTTGCTGTTGCTGCGCATGACTTGGCGCGAGACACTACCGTGTCTCTTGATTCGCTTACAGCTATGCGGCGCACTATTCACTTTCTATACCCGTATCCAAGTTCTTGTCACGAGCATATATAATGCCTGCAAAATGCGGCTAATAACATCGTAATTATTTCTATCAGTTTAATTTCTGATACGTCTCCCATACCGGGAATTCAGATATTGAACTGATTTTTAGAAAATCAGACATATAAATGTCCGATTTTCACTTATTCGGAAAGAAATTATCCAAATAAGTGAAAATCGTTTGTTATTATATCTATTTAAGATATAAAATAGAAATTAACTTCCATATAAATAAAATATTTTAATTTTGATTTAATTTCATAAATTAAATTATTCAAATTTTCCTATATATATTACATTAATATATATTATTAATATTATAAATTTATGTTATTATACAAATGTCAGAAAATGGACATCTCGTGAAGGTGACATATCAACTATTGACGTCATTTTTGAATCTTATGAGACCTAACTTTAGGACGTCTAATTGATTATTTTGTGACCAAAATTTATTGTCATTTTGCTACTTGGAATCGAGACCTTTTAAATGTTTGAATCCATTTAAATGTACCATTTTATATAAATGTCTAGAAACTGCTCGATTTCTGCTGTCAATCTGCCGTCAGATTGCGCGCAGGCTCTGCGTGATTTCTGCAGCCAATTTGCTCACATTGCCTGTCAGCAGGCTCTGTCGACAAAACCTGAGCTTAATGTGATCACAGATGGTTATGGTTTTGGCATGGAATTCTGATTAAATTTGCTGCCAATCTGCGCGCATGCTGCTAGCATTTTGCTATCTGGGTATGTCTGCTAACTATACGCTCAATTAATTTTCATTTATTATAAATAAATTATTATTTCCTAAACTATGAGAATATATTCCTAAATTTGCCCAAACAATTCCCAAACAATTGCAACAATAAAAAATAACTTTATTTTCAACTAACGCCATCTTGCGTGTAAAGCTAGAAAAGTACATTTTCATGTGGTCGACTATACTATATATATCGTCGACGACGACGACGACGACGACGACGTCGACGTTTCTTAAGTGAGAATTTCCACATTATGACTTTGCATCATAATATGGCCGTTCACGACACACGTAGAGTGAAAATAAAGATATTTTCGTTATATAATTAATACCCAAGCTATCGATTAAGCCTAGTAAGATCTCAATCAGTCCAGCCATTATTGAAATCTGATAATTTCAGTTACTCTCAACTGACCGGCTCGCGTGAAGATACACGGTACGCCTTGCTGTTGCTGCGCATGACTTGGCGCGAGACACTACCGTGTCTCTTGATTCGCTTACAGCTATGCGGCGCACTATTCACTTTCTATACCCGTATCCAAGTTCTTGTCACGAGCATATATAATGCCTGCAAAATGCGGCTAATAACATCGTAATTATTTCTATCAGTTTAATTTCTGATACGTCTCCCATACCGGGAATTCAGATATTGAACTGATTTTTAGAAAATCAGACATATAAATGTCCGATTTTCACTTATTCGGAAAGAAATTATCCAAATAAGTGAAAATCGTTTGTTATTATATCTATTTAAGATATAAAATAGAAATTAACTTCCATATAAATAAAATATTTTAATTTTGATTTAATTTCATAAATTAAATTATTCAAATTTTCCTATATATATTACATTAATATATATTATTAATATTATAAATTTATGTTATTAATACAAACGTCAGAAAATGACATCTCGTGAAGGTGACATATCAACTATTGACGTCATTTTTGAATCTTATGAGACCTAACTTTAGGACGTCTAATTGATTATTTTGTGACCAAAATTTACTGTCATTTTGCTACTTGGAATCGAGACCTTTTAAATGTTTAAATCCATTTAAATGTACCATTTTATATAAATGTCTAGAAACTGCTCGATTTCTGCTGTCAATCTGCCGTCAGATTGCGCGCAGGCTCTGCGTGATTTCTGCTGCCAATCTGCTCACATTGCCTGTCAGCAGGCTCTGTCGACAAAACCTGAGCTTAATGTGGTCACAGATGGCTATGGTTTTGGCATGGAATTCTGATTAAATTTGCTGCCAATCTGCGCGCATGCTGCTAGCATTTTGCTATCTGGGTCAGGGTGATGACCTTGATAACATATTTCAAAATTA